AATGAGATCCTTAGGGTGGGCCCTAATCAAAGATGACTAGCATCCTCATAAGAGGAGGAAATTTGAACATAGACATGTGCAGGAAAGACCACATGAATACACAGGGAGAAGAATGCCATCTACAAGCCAAGGAGAGAGGACCCAGGAGAAACCAACCCTGCAGACACCTTGATCTCACACTTCCGGTCTCCAGAATTGGGAGAAAATGAATTTATGTTGTTTAAGCCACTCAATCTGTGGTACTTTGCTATGGCAGTCCTAGCAAACTAATAGATAAAGTCTTAGCCACAGAAGAAAATAAATACCTGTGAGGCTATTCCAATACAACTAAATAAATGAATAACTAAAGGGGGAAGAAGGGAAAGCTCTTCCTTATAGACTTCCAGTTAATAAATGGAGAAGGAACGTTGGAAATAGAATGGTCACCATTTGGCAAATACTACAGTAATAATTGTTTCAGTCAAGAATCATCAATGAGTGTTAAAATGAGAGTGTGGAAGACAGGTGTGAAACAAGCTATTTATGAAGTTTTAAAATATTATACTTATTACTTCCAGAGGGGGAAGTAGTCAGTTTGCAGCGGAGGAACCTGGCAGACACCAGCTTGACCAAGTGACAAAGCTAACACCCTCGGTGCTAACCACATCAACGCCATGCACCCCCAATATGACATACTGAAAGGACAGAGCCTCCCTTCCATGATGTTCTTGCCAAAAATGAATAATTAGGAAAAAAAGATCAGACAAATTAAAACCAAGGGACAGTCTACAAAATAACTAGTGAGTATTCTTCAAAAGCGCTGTGATCATAAAAGACAAAGACTGGGGAATTGTCCCAGATTTAAAGAGACTAAGGTGACAGTAACTCAGTATGATGTGTAATTCCGGGCTGGACCCTAGACGAGGAAAGGGCATCAGTGATCAAATCTCAGTCAAGTCTGTAGATTAGATAATAGCGTGGGACCCAAGTTAACATCCTGGTTTTGATCACTGGATTGTGCTTAGGTAAGATGTTCACATCTGGGGAAACCGAGTCAAGGGTAGTAGGAAGTTCTTTGTACCATTTTGTAACTTTTTTTTATTTTGGTAAATTCTAAACTCTTTCAGTATGAAAAGGTAAAAATCTTAACAAATTACAAAGAAACACAGATGACTGGTCCTCACTTCAGAGTTTCTGATCAGCAAGATGTAGGGTGGGCCCTGAGATTCTGCATCCCTCACAAGTTTCCAGGTGATGCTGATGCTGCTGGTCAACCACTGGACCACACTACACCTCCTCCTGCCCCAGGCCCACCCCACCTTGAGGAGGAGGAAGAACTCATTCATTCATTCACTCACCCATTCATTCATTGCAGGCCCTCACGATCATAGCTCTGATACGTATGAACCAGCAAATATTCCCTAGCTCGCTGTGGGAATGTGATGTTTTCTGTAAAGCAGCCCTTCAGAGGAAGGTTGGTTTACGGTTCACACACTGGCTGCTGGCTTGCTGTCTGTTGCATTGTTATGGAGACAGCAATAGTGCTATCTCCAATTCCTGAGCACGCCCGTCATGCGAGCACCCTCTTCTCAACTTCAGGTGACCAAATGCCTGCTCTGGGGGAGAAGAGAGGAGATGGGAACTCTAGCCTTGCTTCAGAGCCTGAGAAAAGAGAGATGCCAGATCAATTTGCGGTTCGTATTGATTTGCATGTTTCTCGTAAGTCTCTCATGTTTATCAGAGAATCTTCTTATGTTAGCCAAATGTTTTGGCTGAACCTTGAACCCTAGAATCTCCAAATCAGCCTATGGATGTTTAATGCCTTGCCGGAGCCTGGAAGCATTTATATATCCAGGAAGCACTTGAGCTTTGGAAGAGGAAGGCGTCCTGATTCCTGTCTAACCTGCGGGAGGGCCTCAAACCTCTGCACTGGAAGAGGATGATACCCAGGGATGTCTTCGCCTCTGACCCCTCCAGCACCGGGAGGGGACCGGCCTGGCATGCCAAGGCACCGTCCAAACGGGAACAGGGGCCGTGCCATGCATGGAATGCACGAGTCACCTACAGTCCCCGACCGCAACTCTTCAAGAGGGGACCCTCATGTGAGCTACTCTTCACCACAAACTTTCAGGCAGAAGCACTGGAAGGTTGCACCGATTGCCTGAAGTCACAGAGCTGACAAGTGTCTGTGTGATCATTTGCACCCTGGCAATGTGGCTTCATAACCACCACCCTGGACTACCTTAAGACCATCTGCTAGGACTTACTAGCTTGGCCAGAGAATGACCACTGGTTCTAGAACTCTTGGATTCATCTTATCTCTGCACCCCAACAATCCTAACAACGTCCAACAGCTAGGGAGCCTTGTCTCTGCCCAGACACCCTGCTGAGCGTTCATTTAATCCTTATGGCAACTTAGGCAGCAGATACCGTTATCATTCCCATCTCACAGATGTAGAAACAGAGGCACGGAGCAGTGACCATCCTCCCCCTGGTCTGAGCGTGCACTAAGCCCCATGGCCCAGGCCACTGTGTGTGGGGCCAGGGGGCAGGGCCACAGGTGGGATTGCACCGAGGTCTGTCTGATTTCAGAGCCGTTGCTCTTCACCTGGGTGCTCCGCTGCCCGGCAGCAAGAGACAGGCACGCCACCAGCAGGATGTCTCCGTGCCCGCGCATCAGCCAGGGCCAGGTTTGGTTCAGAGGGTGTGACGTACCCCTGACTGCTCCCCCAGATAATTGACTCTCCTGAACATTTAGACATCTTGTCACTTGACATGACTGGCCCATCTTTTCCCTGTCACTGCCTTTTCATCATCCACTGATTCCTGTAACACAAAGTCTCATAAAACAAGCAAACCTTCACTCGGGGTGGCCCCGCGGGGTGGAGATGGGCCTGAGGAAATGACCTCAGGTGAGCTGCTTTCTCTTTCGGCTTCTCTGTGACTCGGTCCTCCCCCCCTCCCTCCCTCACTCCCTCCCTCCTCCTTGGGTCAGAGTCCCACCAAATGCTGCCGTAGCAGATTGCAAAGATGGAGTGTCGGAGTCGCCCGGGGGCTTGTTAAAACACAGCGCTGGACCCCACCCTGGAGTTTCTGACTCAGTAGATTGGAGCGGGGCTTGCGAATCCTGAGGTCTAATACATCCCCAGGTGATGCTAATGCTGCCGGTCCAGGGAGCACACGTTTGAGAGCCACCTAAGAGGCACCCAAAACTGCCCATGGTGGCGAGGGTAAGCTGAGGCTATTTGAAGGGGCTGCTGCACCTCTGGGGGCAGAGGAGGGATCTGCAGAGAACTGCTTCCTCCCGAGAGGAGGGAGACAAAGGAGACGCTGTGTCCACCACATCCTCCGCCTGCTGGGCTGTCCTACAGCTCTCTGGGGGAATAAGCCCAGAATGCTCCATCCTCCCCCTAGAGCATTCTAGGGCTCCCACTCCCTCTGGGCCTCAGGAGCTTCCCTTTGGAAAGAGCAGCATTGCTTCAGGTGCTCCACTCCTCACCCATCGAGGAGTGTACACGCTCCTTAAAAACAGAATCCATTCTCTAATCAGCGGGTGACACTGATGGGACAAAGGGCCACTGCCACCCTTAACTGATGTTAACAAGGCCTGACTCTGGAGCACATACAGCAAAGCGTCTCTGCATCTAAACGCCACTGCTTCCTCAGCGTGGGCCGGGACTCTCCCGCCTGCCGAAACAGAGCCCGCGTGGCCCACGAGGGAGGGGTCCCAGGGCCTCTCGCCAGGCGTATGGGGATGATGCCGGAAACGTCAGACCACGTGGGGCCGCCAGGGCCTCAAACATCAGCACGTCCCCAACCCTCTCCAAAGAGAGGGCCCCATGCTCTCCTGGACCTCAATGGCAAACTAGAATTTAGCTTCACGCGCAGCCTCTGGTTCAAGTTCCCTTGCACTGAGATAAATAACCCCTCCTGGAGCTGCCACCCGCTGGCTATGTGTGGGCTGTGAAGTCACCTTTACAGGAGCACGGGCTGCACAGCGCCAGCTCTCGCCGTCTCTTCCCTTTGTGTGGGTTTGTGTGTGTGTGTGTGTGGGGGGGTGTCACATCAGTATTTACACTCCCCCTTACCCCATCAAAACCCCTGGTTCCCGGGTATTGAAGGCCAAGGGGTCGCCCAATCAGTTCCCAGCACAAAGCACCAAGGCCAGCAAAGACACGTGGCTTCACGGACAGAAGCTTATCAGCTGCAGAACCCACCAGAAAATGCTGTTGCCACTTTCACTAAACTCTTTAGGAGTTTTCTTCCTCCAAGTGCAGGAAGACACGTGAAAGGCCCTAGCCCACACAGACAAAGAATCACTTCCCAAAAATCCAATCAAGCAAATTCTTCAGTGACTTCAGTGATTAGCCCTGGTCCCCCTGGCTAATCAGCACCACCCCAAGCTGACGGCACCAGGAGCACCCCCAGGAACAAGAGAGGAAGGAGCCCCACACCCGGGGCCCAGACCCAAGTCAAGCCCTGCCACGGACCAGCAAGCAGAGTGAGGCTCAGGGCTCTCATCTGCCAGATGCCGGGTGGAACTGGGCAGAAGCCGAAGTCCCATGGAACCATCACCGTGTGTCAAACCCTGTGACATGTGCTCCATACATCTTGACTCATTTAAAAGCCACAAGATCAGTGGAGTCAGGCCTACCTCGTAGAAGAGGAAAGCAAGGCTTACAAAAGCAAACTATCAGGCCCAGTCTCCCCGCTAGTGAAGGGCTGGGCCAAGACTCCCACCAGTACCGTCCAGCTCTAAAGTCCCCCCCGTCTGCACGGTGACTCGGTATGCTCTTGAACGCACCGCCGTGTCTTTCTGAAGGCTCTTGGTGCTTACTGTGACAGCTGATGGGAAAACGGAGACTGTATCCTGTTCGCACAAGATGCAGGCGGTGGCTGCGGTTGGTCACCCGCGATCACAGTATCAGCACTGACGCTGCCTCTCCGCTCAAACCACCGTGCCCCATCCCCCAGGCTCCCGAGTGGCTCTGCGCACCCGGCGGCAGCCACGCCGCCCTCACCTGGAAATGGCTCCTTGAGAAAGTGGCCGTTGATGGTCTGGTTGGCTGTGCCCAGCGGGTTTTTGGCGATGAGGGTGTAGTTGCCGTTGTTGTAGTGCGTGGGCTTGTTGAAGAGCAGGCAGCCCTCGGAAATCTCGCCCTCCTGGTAGTACTCCACGTGGATGATCTTGGACTCGCGCAGGGGCTGCCCGTTGTGCAGCCAGTGCAGCGTGGGCGGCGGGTTGCCGCGCACCACGAACTCGATGCAGTGCTCCAGGCGCAGCTCCGGCTCCTCCAGGCTCACCACGCGCGGGGGGTCTGCAGGGGGACACGCAGCTGGAGCCCGAGTCCCAGAGGCCCCTGTGTGCTAGAGCCGCCCTCCAGCACCCGGGGCGGGATTCTGATTCCTCCCCACCCATTCTGGAAGGGCTAAGGGGAGCAGGGGATCCTCCGCCACCCCGACAGAGGGAGAGACTGTGTCGTCCCCCAAGCTTCCCAAATCCGCCTTAGCTAAAAGGTTCCCTCTCAGCACCTTACAGGGGCTCAACAAAAGGCAGAGCGGGCATCTCACAAGCGTCCTGAGATGCAGCTGAGTTGGAGAGACACCGGCTCAGCCCGGCCCCCGAGGGACAGGGACACCCCTCCTGGGGCTGCTATCCAAGGACTGGCTTCTCAGTCCTGCCCTACGAGAGTCCTCCCGCCACTGCTGGTGGCCCAGCCCTCTGCTCCAGCCCGGCCCCAGCGGCACCTTGGTGCCCCCCAGCTCCTGCGTCTGCGTCCCCTTCCCCTGGGCTGCCCCAGGGCGGCGTGCACTCACAGTAGACGGTGAGGGCCACGCTGGCGTTGCTCATGCCCACCACGCTCTCCGCGATGCACGTCAGGGTGAAGCCGTTGTCCTCGCTCGTCACGTTCACCAACGTCAAGTTGATGGCGTGGACATTGGTCCAGTTCAGATTTGTCTGAAAGCCCCAAGGTAAAGACAACGATCAGTTTCTACCAGGGTGGCCCCCTCACCTAGCCCACACACGCCCTTAGGAATCAGAAGGAAATCCGAGCGCACGGCGAGGGAGGGCTTTCTGGGGACAGCACACTGACCAGTGCCAGGCTCTTCACAGGCAGCGGTCCAGGCAACCCTCACACTAGCCCTACGAGGTGAAGGCTAGTACAGTACTGTGCCCATTTTACATATGAGAAAACTGAGGTATGGAGACGTTGATAAGATCAAAACGGCCAGAAAATACCGCAGCTGGATGGAACCCAAGTCTATGTTGTTTCTTCCCATAGTGACAGGACCACACATTTTCTTTAAGACTAAAAAGTGAGCACCCCCAGCCCCCTGATGGGGCCCAAGCCTGGGATCCTACCTGGTGGGTGTTAATGGACTGCAGCCCAGTGACTATCCAGTCCACGTCAGGCAGGGGTGATCCAGAGCCATTGCAAGTGATGACGGCATTGTCACCCTCCCGTACGGTCAGGTTGACGTGGCTCACGCTGATCTCGGGAAGGTCTGGGAGCCGGGCAAGGCGGGCAAGAAGACAGGCAAACGCTTACTACCCAAAGGAAGCTCTGTCCACGGGACTAATGGTGGCACTTCTCGCCTTGCCCAATAACGACTCTAATGCAACCCTCTTGGGCTCTTGGAAGACTCTCTCCAAATCCCAGACGCCTCACACCACCTCCCCCGTAGACATCGGAACTCAGACCTGAAGCCCATGCCGTTGGACCCTCCTACCTGGCAGGGTAGGGCAGGGGCAGCTGCGGGAGGAACGTGTCTCTGGCAGCTAAGCCCAACGGCACCATTCCACTTTGAGCTCCAGTTCTCAAAACACTGGTGAGTTTCACAGGCCCATAGAGAGCTTGCCATAAATTCAGATTTCCGGGACAGTCCCTCAGACAAAGTCCGTGGGTGGGCCCAGGAATCTGCTTTTCTGAAAGCACCTTAGAAGCTCCTGAGACGGGCAGTCCAGAGCCCATGCTGAGACACGCCCCTTCTGGGAACGCAGAGACAAAGGGACACTGGCCTGATGAGAAGGAGCTCATTTAAGTCCTGCCCGCCTTCCTGACACCAGCCTTCCTTCCACTGGCTCACAGAGGGACCAAGGATGGGGAAGGTGAGCGAGGTCTGCACCAAACCCCAGAGATCAGGGCTGGGAGGGCACCTGGCGAGGATGACCCTGGTGCCCGGGCCAACGTCCAGCCGCATCTCAGGTGCCTCCCAGGAGCCGGGCGGGGCCAGGCGGAGCCGGGCGGCCGCTACTCACCACACTGGCTGATGTTCATGCGGAAGAGAGGGAGCTGCGAGCCGTCGGCGCCGATGCAGTACAGGTTCTGGGTGTTCAGCCTGGCCTCCCCCTGCTCCTGCCACAGCTGCATCCAGCGGATGTCGCAGCTGCAGTTGAAGAAGTTCTGCTCCAGTCTCCTGCGGGCGAGGAGAGAGGGGAAGGGAACCTCTGAACCCAGGATGGCCCGGCCCCCTCCCAGGAGAGACGGGGGTGAGCAAGGTTGTGAAAGAAATAGAAGAATACTTGTAAGCCCGTAAATTTTACTTTTAAAACTAATAAACTCATTAAAAAAAGAAAGAAATCTAACCCGCTTAACACACCTGGCCAAGAGACCGTTTTAAACATATCAGCTGAGGATGTTCTTCCCAAAACCCTCCCGTGGCTTCCGTCTCATGGAAGATCAGAATCAAAGCCCTACATAATATCTGCAGGAGTCTCCATCACTACCTCTCCCCCTACCCCTGTTTGGCCACACTGACCCTGACAGCCGTGAGTTCACCTGCGTGACTGGCTCCTTCCTGCCCCAGGGCCTTTGCGCTCCTGTCCCCTCTGGCTGCCGAGCCCCCACCCAGCACACATGCAATTGCGCCTCCCTCCCTTCCCTGAGGACTCACGGCCTTCTCTTCTTGGGCCACCTCCTGCAAAAAGGCCACCACCCCCTGACCTAACACTGCCTAGTCCCTTGCCCTGCTATGTTCTTCTTTCTAGAATCTACCGCCACCAGCAGCACTTTAAATATTTATTTTAGTTTGTTTCTCTGTCTCTCCAAGTAAAGATTCGGCTCCACTGAGGTTAGAGACGTTGCCTATTAAGTTCATTGCTGTATCCCCAGCAATAAAACTAAAACTGAGCCTGGCATACAAATTCTCGTTGAATGAAAGAGAGAAGGAGAGAGACGGAGACAGAAAGAGAGAGTGTGTTACTGTCCCTGATAGGAGGAGGTAGTCAGCTACTTCCAAGATGTACGCAAAGCCCGTGCTGGGACCAGCTTCATTCCTCCGTGAATCCAACAAATTCTCCAGGAGCGCCGGCTCCATGCCTGGCCGCGGGCTGAGTGCTGCTGACACGGAGATGAGGAAGACAGCCCCGTCCTCCAGGCCCACTCAGCCTGGTGAAGAAGGATGTCTGATGGCGAAAGAGTCACCTTCAAGGCCCTCCGTCTCCACTGATTTTCCTTGGGACTTGAAGCAAGTCACCTCCCTCCCCTCTCAGTGGTATTATTAGAGGGACGATGAACAGCATCGATCAAGCCAACCTCTTAGCACAAAGAGCATGAGATAAATCTGAAGCCCTGGTCGCCAGGGAGAGCAAGAGTCTCTCTGCAACACCACGGGGGCGCGTGCCTTGGGGCCCCCAGGCAGGGGCACCTGGCTCACTACACTGAGACCCAGGATATTTTCAACAACGGCAAACTCCGAAATATAGTTAAATGCGCATCAAAATTAATCAGCTTTCAGGAAGAAGCAAGTCTTCTGGGGAGAGGACTCAAGTGCTTCTAGACACTAGGACACCGCACGAATACCCCCACACGCCATCATGCTCTTGGCCTGAAAGTGCCCAGGACCTCGCCCTGCACCTGGCGCTCTCTCAGCAAAGGTGGCGGGAAAGGAACCAACCTTCGTGGAGCATCTGCCGCTTACAACAACCCCGGGGGTGGCCAGTACTGTGCCCTTACAGGTGAGGGGCCTCTCTGAGGCTTGGAGGGGTTAGGTCACAGGCTCAAGGTCCCTTGGCTGGGGCTCGACAGGGCAGAGCTTCAAGTCTCTGTCTGCCAGACGCCAGACCCTTGCACCCCCACCCCACCTGCCACCTACAAGGCATCGCTGGTGCCAGGGGGGAAGCAGAGGAGCCCGAGGGGGGCCCCGACTCCAGGAGCTCACGCGGGCAGAGCCGGGGCAAGCGCTAGAGGGAAGTAACAAAGGCAAAGGGAATGCTGTGGACCGGAGTGTGAACATGGGAAAGAACGGTAGGGCAGGACGGAGCGTTTGTGTCGAGGAGCACCGGGAAACTCAGCTGGAAAGGTGAAGCCGGAAGGTGGAGGACTTTCACTGCCACATCGGGGACTTTGAAATTCATCCAGGTGGCAAGGGGAAACCAAGGAGGCCCTGAGAACTGGGGAACAGCGTGGACAAAGCAGCTCGGTACAAAGAGCGACCCAACAACGCTGTCCCGGATAAACGGGAGAGGAGGGGAGCCAGAGACTGGGACGGCCCACACACACAGGGTCGCCAGGTACGGCGGTGCAGCCTGTGCATTTCTCGAAGTGCCCAGCCGGAGGGATGGACAGGGCATGGAATCCAGTCTGCACAGCTTTCGCCAGACCCAGCGCCCTGGAGATGCAGCTACATCCGCCCAAAGGAGGCACCTTATCCGGCTCACACACAGGCACCATACAGGCCGCAGGGTCTAGGCAGACGTGCTCAAGCTTTTGGTCTCAGAATTCCTTTATCACTCTTAAAAAATTGCTGAGGGCCTCAAGCTCCCGTGTATGTAGGTCATATCTATTGCTGTTTACCATATTAGAAATTAAAACTGAGAGATGTGAAACACCTTAGCACAAACTCCCTGAGTCGTCAGAGCTGTCGCCGCCTGCCGCGTGGGCTCTGGAAAAGTCCACAGTACACTCCAGAGAGGGGAGCGTGAGAAAGGCAAATAAGGGTTCAGTGCTGTCATGAAAAGAGATTTACCTCCCTGGAAAGGTCTTGGAGAAATGTCCTCTCCGCCATGACTTCTTGTCCCTTGGAGCTTAAAACCGTGGGGTCGGCCGGGCGAGGTGGCTCACGCCTGTAACCCTAGCACTCTGGGAGGCCGAGGCGGCCACGTGGATGGCTCGAGGTCAGGAGTTCGAAACCAGCCTGAGCAAGAGCGAGACCCCGTCTCTACTATAAATAGAAAGAAACCCTGGGACCCTGGACCACCCTTTGAGAACTCCCGCCGAGTTCACAGGGGCCTAGAGTGGTTGGTGACACCTGGGCAGGCGGAGGGGAGGACCCAGCAAACGTCACAAGGTAGACAAGGCGGTATTTGGCGCTTTGATTGTTGTGGAGGGAAAATCTGTTTGTTTGTTTTTTGTAGGCAGAGTCTCACTCTGTTGTCTGGGCTACAGTGAGTGCCGTGGCGTCAGCCTAGCTCACAGCAACCTCAGACTCCTGGGCTGAAGCAATCCTCCTGCCTCAGCCTCTCGAGTAGCTGGGACTACAGGCATGCGCCACCATGCCCGGCTAATTTTTTCTATGTATTTTTAGTTGGCTGACTAATTTCTTTCTATTTATAGTAGAGATGGGGGTCTCGCTCTTGCTCAGGCTGGTTTCGAACTCCTGACCTTGAGCCATCCACGTGGCCGCCTCGGCCTCCCAGAGTGCTAGGATTACAGGCGTGAGCCACCGCGCCCGGCCAACCCCATGGTTTTAAGCTCCGAGGGACAAGAAGTCATGGCAGAGAGGACATTTCTGGCTGGAAACAGAAGAGAAGGGGTCAGCAGAAAGGAAGAGATGAAACCCCTCTGGGGTGGGTGGGGGTGGGGAGGGAGCGCTCGCCCCTCCCGCCCGAGGAGGAAGGGGAAGGATGTGGTCAAGGCAAGATGCCCGTGTGGCTGGGAAAGGAGACAGGGGAAAGGGATCGGGGGGACAGGGAATGAGGAAGAGTGATGAAAAGACTGGGATGATCACATTAGCATCGCACCTGCCGTCGCGCCAACCCCAGGCCAGATGCCCGTCGCGCTGCGCTACTTCATTTAACCCCACACCGAGACGGAAGCGTGGGGAAGGCCGGGCACGGCAGAGGGCTCCGTAGCAAGGCAGGGGGCGGGTGAGCTGACGGCCCCGTGGGAGGGGGCGGGGGAGTGCAGCGGTCTGCGCCCACGGCAGGGGCGGCGCGGAGAGGCCTGGCAGCGCTGCTGGCAGGACACGGGGGTCCAGATGCCTGAACACACGCAAACCGAGACAGGTCAGCCCGGTTTCTCCCGGCTGCTCATTTGACAAGATGCAGCCATTCATTATTGAGTAGGTGTAAAAATACAAATTATCCACCTGGGCGGAAAAGACGAGACAAGCCAAGGGCTTGGCTGCGCTGCCTCGAGCCACGCAGCTCTTTAGGCAGCCCTGCCTCCCGGCTGAGCCCGCGCATCTCAGGGCCCCCAAAGGCAGGCGGTGCCAAGTGGCCTCAGGCTGGCGGGAGAATTAGGTGAGATGTCTGGGACGTGCCGGAGGTGCTGCCAGGCGCAGGCTCAGTGCGGCTTCTCTGTTCCCTTCCATCCTCTCCCTCCAGGCCCTGCCTACAGACCCGATGCACCCTGAGCCCCGGTCCTTCAGCACTCCACAGTCTCCTGGAAAAGAACCTTTGGTTTCCTCCATCCCTCTGGACTTCCTCCTAGAGAAAGAGACGCACAGACACGCACTGCAGAAAGCATCTGGAGTCCTCGAACAGCGGCCGCCCGGACAGCCTGCTGAGCGAACCCACAATCATCATTATGTCCTGACAAGAGAGGGTTCCAACAGGGAGGTGGGCGAGAAGCAAAGACGGGCAGGTGCTAGGTCTGAACGGTGCTGTCCCTTCTGTGTCCCTTGTCCCATCCCTCCAGGTGTGGAGCACAGGAGCCTGGAGCCAGGCCTCGGGGGCAGGTGGGCAGAACCTAAATCTCGGCTTTCCACACTCCATTAATAATGCAGGCGGCCCCATGAATAATACAGTGGCAGCTGCCGCAGGACAAAGCTCACCAACACCAGCCCTTGCCCCAAGATGGCCTGGGGCCTAATCGCAGGGCCCTGGGGGCTCCCCGCAGATTAACTCGGCCGTCTGAGCCTCGCGCATGGGCACTTTGCAGCAGAGCCAAGGCCCAGACTGGGTGTTTAAAAAACATCAGTTCCCTCCAGCCATCACTCCAGTGGCTTTCTTCTCCCCCCCCCCCCAGCCAGCATCGCAGGCTCGGCCAGTGGCAATGCTGGGATGCCAGGCGGTGGAAAACGGGGAGGGGACCCAGGTCAACAAGAGCAGCTCTGCTGTCACGGGGTGAAGGACCCCCACGGGGCCAGGCGCTTGGCACAGGCCCCTGTGAGATAACGACAGTCAGAAGGTAGGAAAAGCACAAACCAAAGATCTGATGGAGCCACTGTGTCACCTTGAGCAGAAATGTGTCCTCCAAAAAGATATGTCCAAGTCCCAACCCCCAGCACCTGTGCGTGGGGCTTTATTGGGAAAGAGAGTCTTGGCAGGTGTAACCAAGTTAAAGACCAAGGGATGAGATCCTTCTGGATTTCGGGCGGGCCCTAAATCCAATGACTGGTGTCCTTATAAGAGGAAGGACAGGGAGGTGAAGGACAAAAGGACAGGGTCGGCAGCCGTGTGAGATGGAGGAGAGACTGCAATGACACTGCCACAAGCCAAGGAACCCCAGGAGCCACCAGAGCCTTTGAAATGACGGTGTCCCTGCCGACACCCTGATTCCAGACTCTGGCCTCCAGAACAGTGAGACGGCAATAATAATTTTCTGTTGTCATTCGAAGCCAAGTGTGTGATAATCTGTTAAGGTGGCCCTAGGAAACGAACGCAGCCAGTAACTTAATTCTCTAAGGCTCTATTTTTGATATCCGTAAAATGGGGGTCATCGTGCTCCCCTTCCTTCTTCGCAGAGTCACCATGAGGATGAGCGAGAACATTCCCTGACGTGCTTTAGGAATTCGAAGGGGCTGTAAAGGGCCAGAAATGGTCATTACAGTAATACCATTGTTAGCGTTGTTGTTTGGTGGGTTCTCCCCAGCTCTGTGCAAAGTGGTCACGGCCAAGACCGGGAGAAGAAAAGTGCCAGGACCAGCCCAAACCCATCCCTGATACCGAGCTAATATTTTACCAAGTCGATTAAACCTGCAAATGATACCAGAGGTAATTATCACTTTGCCTTAAGAAAATGAAATGTTCCGATCTATTTTAATCACGTCCGCTCAGCGCGCGCAGGGCGTTAAGACGAGCCTGCTCAGGGCGCGCTGAGGGCCCTCAGGGTGTTTCTGGAGGGCGTCTGCGCTGTGTGTTCGTGTCCTCCGCCTCTCGCCATCGCCTAAATCCTATCGTGAGATTCAGAACCCAGGCTTCTCTCTTTTCTAATGTATGCTTTATCTCTAAAGGAGAGAGACAGTTCCGGTCCTCTCTGTAAGGAAAACACACCATCTTGCCGTCATCCGAAACTCCTGAGAGCACCGGGCAATGCCAAGGCCAATGTCTCCAAGCCCGCGCCATAGGAACGGCGCTGGCTACTCTACAGCAAGCCCTGAAAGGGGCTTCCAGTTCGCTCAGTAAGAGGACCATCCTGGCAGGGGGCCGTGGACTGCGTGCTTGGCCAAGATCGTTGCCCTCGTCTCACACAAGTGAAGGAGAGAAGGTAAAGAACAGGTCTTGGCACATGGCAAGGACTCTGAGACGGTGGCTTCTTTCCTCCTGGGATTCCACTCCAGGCAGGGGCGCTGCCACCTGGGCGGTGGTTTCTGGAAGGAGACACTGATCATCTAGGGTGTGCTGCTGAGCTGGGTAAGGGAAAGAGCACGGGCACCGAGATCAGCAGACCTGGGTGGTGATAATGCTAAAAATCGCACTACTAACTCCCGGATTGACCACTTACCAGCCACGTGAGCTTGCACTAGTTGCTTGAGTTGGCCAAGCCTCCAATCCCTCATCTGTACGACTGGTTATAATGATACTGCCCTTGTGGGATTGTTCCAAGGATGAGACAGGATCTTGTAAACCATAAGGTGCTCAATCTATGCCTCTTCGTTCTCCTCCTATCCTTCTGGAAGGGTCAGAGACACTCAGCCCTTGCCACGGGGAGTCTCACCGTCACCAGATCCCCTGGTGGGGGGGGCTGGCTGGAGGTGCAGCAGAGGTCCTTGGAGATACAATGGCACATGCTAAGGATTTATCGAACACCCCAGTTTGCCCCGTCGTTCCTACAGAGAGGGTCCCTCGAAGCCTCACGCTTCTAGCTTGTGAGCTTCCCGGCCGCCACAGCGCACTGAGCCCTTTCTCCTCCGAGGCCCGAATTCTTTCTCCCTGGAAGTACGTGACCCAACCCCACACCCCAGCCCACAGGCTCCACGGGGCAGACCCTGGCAGTCTCGATGGCTCATGGCAGATGGCGCCATGTGGACTAATCAGGAAGTCGGACAAGAAAATACTACCCCCTCTTCCATTTGCCAGGAACCGGGATTGTTTGGATTTTAATCATAGCCACTGCTAAGAGCCAACACACAGCCCCTCCAGCCAGAAGATAAATTTTCCACTCTCAACACTCAATTCTTCCCCAAAAATAGACCCCAACCGGGGCGACTGCTCCTCAGAGGGGGGTTTCTTTATTCTCCGATATAATTTTTTCTTATTTAACAATATGACAGAAATAAAGTACTCCGAGGACGGGCTGGCGCTCACATGCTGACTCACACGGAGGGAGCGTCCTCATTCCTCCATAAGTCACACCCAGCCCGCCGGCGCTTCCATCCGGGCGAAGATGAATGCAGGGTCCCGTGATCCTCCGGGAGAAATCTGACATTTTCCTTAAATATATATCCACGAACAACAGTTTCTAAAACTCCACGAAACAGGTCACCAGGGCAGCCGCATACCATTGATTTCGCGTCCAATGATTTTTTAGAAAGAGCACTGAACGTTTTTCTCGATAATTCAGCCAACAGCAGACCCCAGATGTCCCCGAGAGAGACGCTGCCCCTGGCCTCCCACCGACGAAGGGGCCTGCGTTCCAAGAGCACAAGCCGCAAGACTCCCAAGAAGGAGAGCCCCGAAGGCCCCCACGCAGTCCTAGGGTACCCTAACAAAGAACCACAATCATACACTTTTTAAAATTTACTGTAGAATAATCCTTGTCTTGGAAACAGATTGAAAAAATTAGGAGCTAGGTGAGCATAAAGGCCAAGGCTTTGAGTCCACATACCACCACTTGTTTAACGAGTGACCTTAAAGAGCATATTTAACCTTGCTAAGCACCTCAATGTCCTCCGATACAAAATGATAGTAATAAGTCCTACCTTGTAGAATTGTCATGCGGATTAAATTAAATGACGTACGTAACTTAATAGATTGCTTGGCATCGTGCCTGGCACGAAGGAAGGGCTCAGAAATCAGTGCCAGTAGTAAATCGTAGTAGTCATGTTAATTTACCTCTCAGATCTTTTCCACCTACAGTATATATGCAAGGTTGTCATGGAGCGATAGGCCACTGGGACATCAGATGTAAATATTCCCCTTCCTAACCAGCTGGGTCTGAAAAGGTAAGGTTATGACTCACTCATGAACTCAGATCTCGCCAGGTGGAGGGAAAGCAAGTTGAAAGGCCAACAGCACAAGCAGAGGTCCAAGGTCATTGCCTCTTGGTAAAGACAGTAAAGCAATCTGCATTCAGTGAATTTGGATCTCAGTTATCGGGTAAAACGGAAACATGTGAGAAGTGTTTCTGGAACCCTGACTCCCAAACTTCATCTGTGCCTCAATTCCTTTGCAATTTATTTTTTGATTTATACCCACAACATAATATGTTGTCCTTCATGCACAGAGATGACCCCGATGACTCACACATCAACAAGAGTTATTTTCCAGCAGTGGTCACGAATTTTCACTCATCCAGCCAACATTTGTTTGTGCACAATGGCAGGCTGGGGCAAGGGTGTACTGATCAGCCATGGACTGCAGCAAGGTTAAATAGTCCATATGCAGGTTAAATAAATATATGGCCTCCCTCACCTCTCTGGCATGCCTACACCTGAGCCAAGCAAGCTGACAAAAGATCTTGAGTGGTGAAAAGACATGCAATCTAAAGTCGGAAGGCCTAGGTCAAAGGTCCTCACACTTTTTAAACAGAGGGCCAGTTCACTGGCCCTTAGAACATTGGCAAGCCAGACTGTAGTTTTTCTTAAAAAAAAAAAAAACTATGAACAAATTCCTATGCACAGTGCACATACCTTATTGTGAAGTAAAAAAAAAAAAAACAAATGAGCAAAAACACCAGCATGTGGCCCACGGGCTGTAGTGTGAGGACACCTGGCCTAGGTTCAAGTCCTGCCTCCACCAGTCCCCAGAAATGAGATCATGGTTGAGTCTCAAGTGTCTTTCTAGAATCAGGATCCTTATCCATAAAATGCAGAGGATAATGATACCTACCTCTTATGACTCTTTTAATAATAAATCTAAGGTCACATAAATGAAAGCATACCAGATAATCTATAAAGTTACGTATCATGAATGTTATGTTCTAATAAATTGACAAATATTCTTTATTATTATAAATACCAACACTATTATTACTAATTACCCACAGTTCACAAAACTAAATCCTGATAAGAGATTCCTGTTTCCTGAAACAGACTGTGCCCAGAAAGAGCATCAGAAACCAAGCAACGGGGTGGCTCGCTCTCACTGAACATGGTACACTTTCTGTCATCCACCCCAAGTAGCCCCTTCAGGTGGACGCCCAGCCTTCAGGTAGCTCCACTGCTTGACACTTGTCCGCACCCACCCGCTACCGCCACTTCAGTACCTGGACAGTCTTCAAAACCAAACTTACAATTCCCGAAGACTCAGCGTCTGGAAAAGCTGCCACGAGAGTGTGGTGAGCCGGTTACTCGACAGGTTTCTGCAAGATGGGCAAATAAAGGGAAAATTAATAAACAGATCTGGCATAAATAATGTGCTTGGTAGTAAGCTTGGTCATTTCAGTGGAGCCTGGCTTTGTGTTTCTTCTCCTTCTTCATTCTGTTAGGCCAAAGATGCATCTGCTAACAGCTGAGGCCACAGATCTGGTTTGGAGAGGCTTCTGAGGCCTTGTAAAAAGCAATATTTTACAAATCAAAGAACCAGTAAAATTCTCTTGGTCATTGTCCCGTATCCTTTCCCAACACTAAAAGTCCAGGGAGCCTTCATGAAGCCATCCTTCTCCCGGGGGGCAGAGAGTTTTCAGGATACACAAGGCAACAAACATCCCTAAAATGCACACGGGTCGAAAACCCTGCAGGTCACCTCCAATTCCTGTTAGCCACTCTCCCCCGGCAAACATGCCCATCAGTGATCAAGACTTCAGCCTTTTGTTCCTACGTCTGTTCTCTTCCTAATGGCTATTTAATTGTTCTCATTAGGATGTACAGGGGAAAGCAGCGGCCATTAGTCTCCCGAGTAAAAGAAGAAACACGCCCACGGTTATTACTTTGCCAGGCTCAACAACTTTTGATGCGATGACAGCCCTTGAAGGCAGCAGTTAGACAGCGTTGGAATTGAAGTGGCACCCCAGGAACAATGTACTCTTCTGCTGACGGGAAGTGATGGCAGGGCTGACTCCACTTGGGTAAATGTCTATTCACTCACGGGAGCGTGTGTGTACTTGTGTCTATCAAACATGCAGGTAGCAAATGCGAATACCGGCTCTTATTTATACACACAGACGCACACACGCACACACATGCATGCACGCTTATCCATGCACCTCATTTAGATGACTTCTACCACAAACATTTATCGAGAGCCAAAAATAGGCAACATCAGTGTAATGAAGGGGTGGACCATTGAGAGGGAAGGTAAGATCCCTCTGGAACCTTCTATTCAAGTTACAAATGAGTAAGCAGAAGGAAGACTATAAAGTGAGGTAAATAACTGACTCAGGATGGGGAGGGCTCAAAGAAGTGTCTCCTGAGAAGGAAACATCGGACACGGGACAAGAAGAACGAGAACGACCCGAGTCCCAGCGTTTCCGGCAGTGGAAGCAGCAAGTGCAGAGGACTGGGGGCAACCAGGCCCCGGAAATGCTCCAGGGGACGGGGGAGAGGAACTCAGCCACACCCACCTCGCTGGCCACGAGGAAGAGTCTGGGTTTTATTTTAAAGAGTGGCAGGAAGGCATTTCATAGTTTTCAATGGGGGAAGTGACATCATCTAATTACCGTTTTTAAAAATAGAACAAGACTGGAAGTTGGCAGCCGGCTGGGAGGCTGCTGCAGTAGTCCAAGCAGGACAAGGGAGTCAGGTAATTAAGCGGATGGATGCAAGATAGGTGCTGGGGGCAGAGGTGCCAGAGCTTCCTATTGGGTGGGATTTGGGAGGGGAGGGACAGAGGACTGCATGGGCAGGGGCGTGGGGACGTCATGCGTGAGACGAGGAAGCCCCCAGAAGGGTCACACGGAGGCAGGGCGGATCAAGCGCCTCCCTCGCAGATACGAAGTTTGCGATGCCAGTGGGCATCCGGAGAGAAATCAAATAGCTGCTTAAATACACGGGTCCGGAGCTCGTGGGAGAAGCTGGGGCTGGTAACATCATACATGGAGAGAGTCCACCCAGTTCACAACAGGACCAGACATTCAAACGCAGCAACCACCTAAGGGACAACAGGGCGTCCCCTCCTCATGCGATGCGACCCTATCTGGGGTGAACTGGCTGCGCCTCTGAGACAGGAACGTGCAGAGGGACAGCCCTGCTCTGAGGGTGTAGGGGGCGGGTGGAGAAGGGAAGGGACCAAAGGTGGGCGTCTCCCAAGTTTACTGCCCTGCTGTCTGCCCTGCACCCAGCACGCTCTCCTTTTAGAGTCCTTAAGCCAGCGCTTTCTAGGACAGAGTCCACAGCCCTACACTCCCCCACCTCCTCTCTGCAGGGCTGAGAGCTCCGGTGTGACAGCACATGTCCCCTAAAAGCCTGTGCACCTAACCCACCCATCACACTCAGCTTCCCCAAACTCCTAACGACTGTATGTCCTATTCCTAAAAATTCCCACCACTCCCCACACCCAGCAGAAGGAAAGGGGTAATAGATGAAGAACTGCAATAATGACCACTTGGGGACACCATCTGGGCAAAGCTCCCTGCAGCAGCCTGTCCCCTGCTTGGGAGGGTAGAGACAGACATCAGACACACACCCTTACTGAGTCGCCAACCCTACCCTAGCCATTGGACCAGGACTTCAGAACTTCAGGTTGAGGACAATAGATTTTGATACTACTCTCTGAGTCTCCAATGCCATTAGCCTTTAGGACATTTTAATAAATCTGAAAGTTTGATTCATCTAGGTAGAAATCTTTTGTTTTACTCTGTTTTCCCTGGTTTACTATTTATGTGCAACAGCATCCGTGTTAGCAAAAGCCGGAAAAAGCCCCAAACTTCCAAATCCACAGGGGAATCCCCACAGCGCTTTGGAAAGATGTCCAGCCCCCACCTTCAGCTCGCTGCCCCTCCCCCGGGCTCCCGTGAACAAAACCCGAGGTTCTGAAGCTGAGCAGCAGCGCCCCGCAGGCAGCTGACAGCCAGGAACCCCAGACCCAGTGAGCCGTGGGGAACGTGCCCCCGGCAAGATACAAAAGCAGCTGGTGGGAACTCGCAGGCCAGGAGACAGGAGCGGTCCAGGTGAGGGGCAGCCCTGCCCATCTCCCAGGGAGAAGAGGGCAGGGAGCCGGCCAGGAGTTCCAGGGAGCCCCAGGCTGCAGCAATGTCCTCTCACAAAGGTCATGCTTTGCTACATTAGGCAGAAATGTCACGAGAAAATTGGATTCTGGAAGAAAGAAAATAACAGGCATTCTGCGCAAATAAAGAATAAGAAATAGCATTATTGCCTTATTAGAAGTTAGAGCCGGGAGGGTTCCCGGGGCACCTGGTAACAGGAAAGTGGGCTTCTGCTCTCTCAGGAGGGTCTTAGCTTCAGCCCACCCTTTCCCAACCCACCAGACCCCACCTGGAGGAGAAAGGTCCCCTAGATTCTTCCAGCGGTTTGTCCAGATGGGGCAGCTGCCGTGGCACTCGTGCACTCTGCCCAAACACACGCACACAACCCAGGGCATGTTCCCAGAGACAGGGACACTGTGTCGCACAAGTCCAGGGAGGAGTGCAGGCTGCACAACCTGTGCAGCTGTACATAGCACCCTGCCAGACACACAATCGAAGCACCCATCCCCAGAGACAAACTTATACAAAGACAACAAGAAGTAAGGCAAACACATACACACCACAACACAAGCAGGACGCCTCTCTGGCCATGCTGCCCGCAGAGGCACTTATGAATTCTCGTGGCGCAGGGCAAAGACATCAAGGCACAGGGCTTCAAGATGACTTGCCACCCACTCAGAACTCGCTGCCCCCGATTTTTCCTCCTAGCTGGTGCCTCACCTGCATTCACCTGTCATCAGTTATTGATGAGCTGGTCACCCTGCTCATCAGACAAGAGTTTAATTAAGAACCATCCTGCCTCTGAGCCCCACGGCAGCCTTTGGCCAGTGCCTCCTCCCTAATAGATCCATTACTGCCATCTCTGACTTTTGCGTGGGTCAATGGCCAGTCTCCCGGCCACCTGACCACTGAATTAATTTGGTGAGCAAGATTTTACGAGATGATGCATCAAACACTTTCCCAAAATCAAGCTCCGTGACACTGCCCCCTCTATCTCTCATCTGAGACTCCCAAACAAAGCCATTAATTTTGTCCTGCACAACTGGCTCTCTCGCAGAGCAGACTCTGGGGGCCAGAGGTAATAAACGATGACCATGTGGCCGCTGAGCGCTCTAGAACAAGCAGCCAGACACACGCATGGCCAAATGTTGGGCCCTGGGGTGCCATAGGGCTCAGAGGACCCAGCCTGCATTAGCCTGCTGTGGACTAGGATCCTCCCAAGCAACCTCCACTCTGACCAGTGGAAACCTCAGCAAGATAAGCACCCCCGTGACCTTCCTAATGGCAGCACCAACTACAGCAGGAATGGAAGCCCATGACTGGGGAGGATGTCACCCTCTTCGCCAGGAACCCTATTGCTACAAAAAGGTCAACAAGATGGACCCTGTCACCAAAGGAAACCAACCCGTCGAGTTCTTCTGTTGTCCCCTTGGGTGCTGAGAGTTTAGAAGGAACATTAAAGCCCAGTCCATAAAGTGAGCCTACAGACAGACGCAAGGCTCTGTGGGTTTCCTAGATTGAGGGTGGGGCTGACACCTGCAGGTGCAGGCCCAGTGGGCAGGTGCGTCTCAGGATTTGTGTGCGTGCAGGACTGCTGGCAGCAGGTGTCTTTGCATCCCTGTGCTATTAAACCGGATGCATCCTCACCTGTTCACGTCGCCATCCCAGACCCACGCAGCTCCCAGATGCTCACCCCTTCTCTGCATCTCCTTGGTCCTTCTCACTTGGGTGTTGCCATGGACTGAACTGTGTCTCCCCAAAATTTATATGCCCAAGTCCTAACCCCCAGTGGAGACAGGACCTTTACAGAGGTAATTAAGGTTAAATGTGGTCATACAAGTGGTCCTTAATCCACTATGATGGTTGTCCCTATACTAAGAGATTAGGTCACAGACACAGGCAGAGGGAAAAAAATGTGATGACAGGAAGGCAAAGATGCCATCTGCAAGCCAAGGAGAGAAGCCTTAGAAGAAATAGCCCTGCCAGTGACACCTTGATCTTTAACTTCAAGCCTCCAGAACTGTAAGAAGATAAATCACTGTGGTTTAAGCCACCCAGTCGGTGGTACTTTGTTCTAGCAGCAATAGCAAACTAATATCCCTGTTCTCGGCCCCTCATTTGCCCTAGGGCCCTGATAGCCAACTTGGCTGCCTCCAAGTCATGGCTTTCTGTCACCCGCTTGCTCTCTCTGTCTATGCTTAGTGGCTCTAGGGAACCAG